ACATATACACGCGTTTTCCGTTGGTCGAGCGGGGGGTAAGCGATGATATTAAAACATGGTCCAGTGTCCCCACCCGATGTTTGAGTACGTGACCCAACTTGTTCTCGTAACTTTCTTATTTTACAGAATAATTGCAATCTAATTTGTTCCCTGACATGCCGCACCCGTCCTCTACCCTAAAATTAGGTGCCCGTGAGCCTGAGGGGCGCACTTCACACGTCCCTAGGCGGCCCCACAAGGAATTCCTACCCATAAACTATCCTGACACTCATTGCGAATAAATGCAGGCGGCAGGCAGTGAACACAGAAAGATAGACGTATCTAGAAAAATGTCTAGTGCAACCACAAAAGGCGTGCTAACTCAAGACAGCCCCCACACCCAAGAAAACATCGCGACTACGTTGTCCTAGGTGGAGTGAACCAGTTGCTCATACAGCAGCTAAAGGGAGGGGGAGAGTCGGTTAAAAGATGGTGAAAAGGACTAGTTTGCGAGTAGCGGCAAATACGCGAAATTCAGGTGCACTGTCAACCTGTCTGCTGACTCTACGGGGATATTGAAAATAGCCATCGCATCTGGCCTTGCCTTGGCGTCCAGGAACCCGTTTACCGCTAAAGATTCAGGCATGTAATAAAAGCTTTGCACTACCTTGGAGACTTAAGATATGCTGCAGCAAAAGTAGGCGATCGGCATCCGATATTTTTGTGATTCGGTGCCAGCGCGAATCACTTGACTTCGTGCGGTTGCTGTTGGACGCAAAACAACAATTGCGTTGTGTGGCTCAATAGATAATATGACTCTATCCACCGTTGGACGCGCACAGTAACCCGTGCGTAGGTTAATCGGTAAGCCCCGTCTTTTGGGATTTCCAAAATCCCGGAATTACTTATCTGCGCTCGTCAAACATCCAGAATAAAGTCAAATATTGGTAAAATTAATTCTTATACTTATGATTAGAAGACTTCTGATGAACAAAAGGAGACGGCGAGCAACACTATTTGGTAAAAGAAAAACGGAATGCCAAAAATTGTTGAATAGGGCTCACCCCTGAGGTTCATCAAAGTAGACAGCCTTCTCCGCGAGAAGATCGATAATGCCAACGTTATTTGACTCCAGCCCAATGGGGATGTTTAGAAAAGCAGCAGTGAAACGTAATTTATCGCTGAAAAGAAATCAGAAAGCAGGCTAATTACATTGGTATAACCTCGAAATGTGTGAACACTTCTCAGGAAAGTGAACAACATGTCTTTGGAGCAAAGAAAGTCAAAATGGCGAACATGAGAACTCTTAAAATACATGAATCAGTTCTGTGAAGTCAATGAGGACCACAACTACCCCGATGAGGAACCAA